AACAAGGGTCTTTTAGACACCACCCATGATTTCACTGAAAAAAAAMCAACTTATTTGAAAGTTTCAATAGCACATTTTAGTGAGATGCTTGATGCTGACCCTGTGTTCAAACAAAAAAATTGGATGAGACAAGACTTCCATTTGTTCTTATGTAAACCTACACATTTTTATGAAAACCACTATATTACCTATATTCATCATGCCATATGATTTTTGCTAAAGAATTTGACTAACCATTCTTCAGCACCAGCTATGACAGTATATCACCTGGCAAAGCAAAACACTAATTTAGGGRAAATTTCACAAGTTGAAAAACTATTTAAACAGGATCGAAATGTTCACACTACTTGGAAAGTAAATTGGGACATAGACTGTGAAATAAAACACATCTGCATAATCCACAAATACCTGAGGATGCCTGAGACAACACGGGTGAGCCATCACAACTGGCTAGAAATAGATTCCAACATGATTTCAGCAGCAGTCACAGCCTTATTAGTAAGTCAAGCTTCAAAATTGTTGTAGTATAAAATCGAGAATCCAGATATGTATAYATTGAAGGGTTCTATTCCTTGATACGGGTGCTTCCTGTGCCAAAAAGTGGTTAACAGAGACACTGAACAGTCAAAGAGTTTGTGCTACTGACCAATATCCCACTGATCACAGGCTCTACCAAGAATCCACCACGTTTCCTGCTGGATTCCGCACCTCTACAGGGGTCCAAAGTACAAATGCAAAGGTGGCAGATGTCACCAAAAATGGGAACATGGGGCACAGGCACCAAGCTGCACTGTTTGTAATCATTCAAAGGTCATGCTTAACAGGGGTAAGCAAAGTCAAAGMAAAATATTATGGTGTAACAAACACCACATTCCTTGTACTTTATATCAGAAAATTGTATGTTAAAGATGCTCTAAAYCTATAAATACATATTTGCTTTTTTTTAGCCCTATATGATTATCTGCATCATTGCATGTTGCCCATGTACACTCCCAGGGTTGATGTGAATTTTAAAGTGCAAATCAGCCTTAATCAATGGAAGTTCTCCCACAAGTTCTCCCATAATGGCTTAATTATCATTTCTCACTTAAAACTTAGATCACAATCAGTATCAACAAAACCAGAYTTGACTTAAAATAATACAGATAATTTAAATTTATAAATACTGTGAGAAAGGTCTTTATCTTGCAACAGAGTAGAGTAAGATTTCAAAAACCAGGTATAGTAGTAAGATAATTCACTAAGTCTCCAGCTTCATAAATGTGTTATGAAATGAGTGCTATGAAGAGAGAATATATATGAACATTCTTTAAAGGTGCAGGAGAGTTGGTTTCACTCCCTTAAATACAGTGATGCTTATATTACCTCTYGCCCAGATTCACGACAACAGATTTTACAATAAACTTTAAATACTAGGAAACAAACTCTCAAACTGTATTTTCATCACAGGAATCTCAACAGAAACACTTTCCATCCAAAAGAGACAAGCAGTAAAGCAAACTCAATAATAATTCCCCCTCATTGTTCCAAAACAGTACAAATCACTCCCTAATCAGAACCAAAACCCCATCTCCAGCCCATTTGAAAACAGAAAATTTTAGTTAAATACTTCTAACAGAAGTATTATCTCTAAGTTCTTCCAGCAGAAGTCCTTTTCAAATTATTCTTCCATAAAAAATTTACAAATTGACTTTGCAACATAATGAACTAAATACTCCAACTTTAATATTTTGCATTCATACGAAAAACAATTAACAGTTTTTACAAATAGTGTTATTTACTAAAACAATTCTTGTACAACAGTGCAGTATATCTAAATATATACATATGCAAACATCAAAGGGATCCTCAAAACAAATAAAGCCAAACAAAAATGCACTTTGCTACTGTGTACACTTTATTAAAACCAAAGCAGACTGCAGCAGATTTTTCTTTTTCATGACAAAGACAAAAATTATTTGGATTCCAGAAGAACATGCAGGATAGAACAAAAACTCCTACCACCTTTTTGCCAAGGTAGCAGCATGAATAGGGAATTTTTAGATCTGTAATTCACATAGTAGCAAATGGAATGTTTTTAAACACAACCATCCTAATTTAAGAAACCAGGCTTCAGAAATGTTCATAGTGTTTTCTACATATTGAAGGGAAAAGATCAAATATCACGGTCTTCTCCATGTTTTCTTATGGTGTTGGACAGTGTATATATTAAAGTCATTATTCTTCATTGCAGCTGAAAATGAAATAGGAGTAGCTGTAGTGTGGAGCTGATCAGCTTTACTAAGATTGAATAACAGAATAAAAAATGATTCTGCCTGCTGTTGGCAATGGAGATTTTTTGTAACTTTTATTCTACCCTTTTTCTTTAAAAATACCTCCTTCCAGTTTTTTACTGGAAAAATTATGCTCCCTTGTTCTTCAAAACAGATACATACATGTTCTTCAAAGGAAGGTGCAGTTGTGTAATTCAAAGTGCCAGTGTAGCTGCTCCAACTAGAGATGTCTTTTTTCTATGAACCCCAGCAGAGAAAGAATAAGGTAAGACCTTTGTATATAAAGACTGCACAGATATCTTTGAAATATGAGTGAAAAATAAAGAAAGTGGTATTAGAGACAATACTAAAAAATTGGAGAATGAGGTATTAAGCAGTTCTCCAGTGTAAATCTGATGTTCCTGCCATCTAGATGAAATCAGAGAACTATAGTAGCAGCCTAGATTCAATCAGCATAATATGTACATGGTATTAAAAGCAAATCTATCTCCTTTGTTACATTTAACCATTTGCAATCTGGCAGAATTTTCTGAAGTCCAAATTCATTTCAGTTCCCCTGCCTCAAAATTCGCTAACGGTAACTGCACCACGAGAGCAGCATGCTGCTCCACACCTGTTGAGAAGCACGCAGGAATTGTTGTTATTTTGCTCCTTTTTACTCCTGTCTCTATGTGCTTTGGCCAGTGACATTACAGAGACATCTACACAGTACCAGTTACTAAACAGAGGTGGGCAAATACGTTGTGACTGTTCCTGCAGCTGCACACTCTGGAACACACTGCCATGACATCAGGACAGAAAATTTTAACACACTGCCCCAGTATTTTTCCTGGGATGTTTTACAGTAAATCTTGACACCTTTGTTACACCCACATAAATTGAGATGATACATATGGCTAAAAAAAATTTGCTTATAGAAGCGAAATGCACAGAAGGCACTTTCCAAAGTTTGCTCCAGTTCATGCCAACCAAGCCACTGAGATACCCCTTCTGAAGTTAATTAGCATTTTGTATTCCTTAATGAAAGGGTTAAGTAAAAAAGGCTTATACAAAGTATCTTGAACATATTTTAGCTTTAAATTGACAATGTACATGTAAAGAAACAAGACATTCAAAAATTAGGTCTTCTATTGGAACATGAATAACATTTCCAAGGATTCTTAACTTTCAAATAGTTTACATTCTGACACATTATTTAATTGCTAAAAAGCTTTTCTACAGAGTAGCTGCACATGTACTTTCCTCTATTCATGGACATTTCAATGTTCAATATTGTAGTAAGGTAGAATATAATTAACTTGGTCAAAATAATGTATAAACAAGGAATCTAAGAATAAATCACAGCAAGGAAGCACCAGCAATGGCATCTCCAGGTTCATGATACCAAACCAGCAGAGAGGAGGTGAACTGAAATATGATTTCTAAGTTATCAGAAAGGAAAAAAGAGGATGACTGAAGGAATTTGTGCAATGACCGCATCTAGCAAAGCAGGAGAAGGCATCACTGCAGAGTATCAAACATACAGGGCACAACCAAGCAGGAAGACATTTTCCAAAAGGAAAAATCAACATGAAGTAATGCAGCTCCAAGTTCATTGTAATCTGAACATGTTAAATGGAAAACGTAGGTGGCAACAGRAACACTAAGACTCAGCACCTAAAAATATAGTGACTTACTCCACCAGTTACAATGATTTCTGATTCAAAGTCAACTGCAATTCCCAGTCTGGTACAGGAGATGCCTCAGAATGGTGACTTAGATAAAGGTATGAAGGAAAATAGAAAATGTCCATCTATTTTCTGTAACTTTCATTATACTGAATTTAAAGGGGCATTGAATTTTATCAAGTTGTTTTTTTGGTCATGATGAACATAAATCAAAAGTGATTTTAATTTTCATAAAAATGGATGCATGGCCAAAACAAACAAGTTGGAGAGCAGAAAAATTACAATACACATAAGGTTTCAATGTTCAAATGAGAAAACAGGAACTAGCATTTCTGTATATCAAGGAATGATTTCTAAAATTTTTAAAAACACTGACAACTTACCAACAAAATATTTTTTTTCTGGGTCATTTCTRTACAGAAGTTCCACAGGCCTTTATTAGGGAACATGTGAAAACCCAAGAATACAATAGTCAGTATCAGCAAGRCTATCTTGATGCTTCAAGCTTCTCCTTTAAACAGGGACTAAGAACTATGGAATAAAAAATCATTTCCACTTTTGTGTATAAATTACACATTTCTATACACATTGTATATATGATTTTGGAATAAGGTACCTAATGCATACAGACAGAGAACTATCTAAATTAGACTACAAGTCCTTTCTAAAGACATCACTTCTTCAATCCATAAAAAGTTATCTATGGCACAGTATGTCAGATTATTATTTTTTTCTTTAGTATTTCCTTCCAAATTCCACAGGCTTTTGTGATGACACCAAGTAGTGAAATAATTAATCACAGTTTGCAAGGATACTTAAAAATTTTAGAGAAAAAAAAATATGCAAAAATACTAGCATTAAATCAACCAGCTGGCTAGAACATCCCCAACTGGAATAGATCAGCCATGGGCATGTTTTGCAACCACCCTAGTCAGAAGTCATCTGAAAGTATCTGGCAAAACACTGATGTAAATTAAAGTAGTGAAACAAAGGCATGTTAGGTAACTGTGAACAGACAGAGGAGTATAAGGGATAACAGAGCTCATTTTATAGTATAAYGTACAGTTGAAACATTTAATTCCAGAAACACATTAAAATATAGTACACAAAACAAACAACTTCTGACATCCACACTAGACTAAAAACAGACCTGATGTTGAAGCCATCTGCTTAGTGAAATTAGAGTCACTGGAAAAGATGAAACCAGGATGCACTACTAGATGGAACACATTTGCAAACAACAGTCTTTGTACAAGAAACCCTGCTCAAGCACACCTGAAATGCTACCTTCTGTTACTACGTTTCTTTTGCAGCACCTCATCCACAGCAAGAAAATATCCTGCTTTACACAGCCATCTGACTAAGTTACTGAGTAACACAAGGGTTTAAAACAGGATAATGCATGTTGCTGTAGAAGAGAATTTAAAGTAACCTGTAAGTGGATTAAATGAGATGCCTCATAAACCATCTAAACTATAGAAGGGCTAATAAACTCAAATGGTACAACTGAAAATTGAAACAGACATTTAAGGCAGAAGTGTTTGCGTTACAACAGTAAACAGAACAAATTGCTAAGCAAGGCCACAAGAGATAAAACCAAGCCCTGAAGGTTTGTTTAGCAAAGTGATTTAAATGTCCGTAATTCTCCATGTTCTAATTAAGAAGACTTGAAYAAAAGAGTGTAATTCATGTTGTGTGTTCCAGTTTAAAACTCCATTGTTTCTCTTTCAACTCAATTCCTCTGTCTTTCTTTGGTGTAATCTCTACCAACACACATAGAATATAATTCTGGTTCTCATTTTAAAAAACAACTCGGAAAAATAAATTACATGCTTCTCATGATAAAATGCAAGATCCTGATCTGTTTCATGGTCCCATGATACGTTTAGCAGCCTCTGAATAGTAGTTTTAAGTAATTCATTATGTCGGAAGCAGAATCATAATTTGCTGTTATCCCCCCAAATCATTTACTAGTTAACAAGTTTACTTTGGTAGATAAGCTATCTAATAGTCATGATACACATGTGTTCAATTCAAGAAGTAGTGAAACTTAGGTAAGTTTGTAAATTCATATATAGACGTTAGCTTGTAATAGTAACCATGATATGCAGAATTACTGTTTTCCTGCATTGGAAAAAGACATTGCATCTGTCTTAAAACTAGACAAAACTATGAAATATGGTTGTCAGTTCATGATTAAAATAAAATAGTAAAGCAAATTATTTTTAAACATTGTGTTAAATATATTCACATGACCACCATAGCTATACGAAATGGGCACTACTGCAATCACACACTATGTACATAACATATATGCCACAATAGTTTGCAATGGTTGAGTTTTCACAAACTAGCCAATTTAACCATACATAAATAATCTTGTACCAATTTTTAGGCATTTTAAAAGGAATTAAATTTCCTAAATATATCAGTTCCTCTGCAAAATTAAAAAAAAATCCTAAAAAGTCAGTGCAAATTGAACTTGTTCACCAAGAGAGATTCTTACTAAGCTGAGGATAAACAAAGTTTAAGAGATTAAATGAAGAAACTCATAGAATCACCAACTGCCTTTAGCAGAGGTTAAAGATGATTAGCAATCAGAAGTCCTGGATCCTATAGCAGAGCCTTCTGTGAATAACTATGCTGTGGTTGTTGAGGTGGTGGAGGCTGTGGCTGTTGTGGAGGTGCTTGTTGACTGCCTGCTGTCTGTGGCAGAGCTGTAGGTGCTAAGTTATAGTTTGGCACCTGGGACATGTTAGTTCCAGCATTCTGATAAGCAGCAACATCAACAGTACCAGGTGGTGGACTATACACTGATGCCTGGTTAGAGTAAGTACTTCCAGCAACAGAACCAACCATTGCACNAAAAAAAAAAAAAAAAAAAAAAAAAAAAAAAAAAAAAAAAAAAAAAAAAAAAAAAAAAAAAAAAAAAAAAAAAGAGAAAGAAATATTCAGAGTTAAATTCACAAAAAATTTACCAACAGAACAGCAAAACTTTATTGCTTCTTCAGTTGTTCTATTTATGTACACAAAAATCTTCTAGCTCTGGACACATTACTCATTTGCTACAGTTTTAAATATGTATTCTCATTAAAACTCAAACACACTCCTCAGATTCAAACATACAATAGACACCTCCCATAGATTTAAAATTAGACCATGGATCTATACTTCTGCTTTATTTTAAGGTGCAATAGGGAATGCCATCTATGTTCCATTCTGTTTATGAAAAAAAAAAAAACCCAACAAACTGTTTTAAATAGCAAAACAAGTCAGGTGAAGATATGGAAACTCACTTTATCATTGTATGCTTTACTATCCTAATAAACTTTGGGGGCAATGGCTACCGAATGACTCAGATGTCTCCCCAATATTTTAGAATAAAATTACTTTCAGCAGAGAGTAAAATAAACAAAAAACCCAAACAAACAAAAACTAACAAAAACCCACAAACTTTTTCACAATAACTTTTCCACATGTAACTTAACCAAAATTTAGCCTCTTTGGCCATCTATCTAACATAGCTACCTCTTGTAGCTTCTTTATATGAGCAAGCTGTATAAGCTTTAGTAAGAATCCATAGCCTATTTACCTCTTTCCCAAAATAAGCAGAATTCTCCCCATTCTTTGGTAGTAAGATATTTGCCAAAGGAACAGTAGAATATACACATTAAGAAATTATGCAGAGGTAGCTAGAGCAATGGATAATCTTCATCATTAAAAATATATTAAAAGTTAATATTACTGCTACTAAATCATGTCTGTATAATTTCCCCTATTTTTTATATTAAAACTATAGACCTATAGAAATTACATTTTTTATATACATAAAAATTAAAAATTAAAAACCAGATAAAATTCTAAAAACAGAAAACTTAGAAGTTTGTCAGGAATTTTTACCAAATACATAACAGCAATAAAAAGCTCACTGGAAATGATTGCACTGAAGTGTCTTACAGTTGGGTCTATAATTACTGTTCTG